ATGTGGTGCTGGGGGATTGAACCGTGGTCCCTGTGCTTCGCTGAACTTGTTCTAAGTAGGTGCTTTAGACCACTGAGCCATCTCTCCAGCCCCCCTCTTCATTTTTTATATTTTTTTTAATTTTTAATTTTACGTATTTGGTACAGGATCTCAGTACACAGCTCGAGTCATGATGATCCTCCTGTTTCAGTCTCCCCAGCGCTGGGATTGCAGGAGCGCGCCACCACGCCCGGCTAGTCAGGCTTCTCTTCTGCAGTTTCCTCCCGTCTCAGCCATTGCAGAATTGAACGGAGGAAGAGCTTGTTCTGGAGGAGGCTTTGCCTCCAGATGGTTCCGTGGCGACACTTGGTTATCCAGACACTAAGACTTTGTCGAGATCAATTTAAGGCTCCTTCAGCTCCTTCGCATTAATTCCTGAGCTCTCTGGACAGCACTTTTGATTTCCTTCAAGAGCTCTTCCTAGGCACAGGGAGCGGCGCAGGCCTGTAGCCCCAGCACAGTGCAAGCTGGAGCCCAGTGTGAGCAACTGGGTGATTCAGCAAAACCGTACCTCAAAATAAAAAGTGGGGGGCCCAGGATATATCCCAGTGGTGCAGTGCCTGCCTGGCAAGCACAAGGTCCTGTGCTTGATTCCCTGTACTGAAGAAGAGAGGAAGAGGAGGAGGAGGAGGAGGAGGAGGAGGAGGGGAAGGAAGAGGAGGAGGAGAGGAGGAGGAGGAGGGGAAGGAAGAGGAGGAGGAGAGGAGGAGGAGGAGGGGAAGGAAGAGGAGGAGGAGGAGGAGGAGGAGGAGGAGGAGGAGGAGGAGGAGGAGGAGGAGGAAGGAGAGGAGGAGGGAGGAGGAGGGGAAGGAAGAGGAGGTGTAGGGGAGGGAGAGGAAGAGGGGGAAGAAGGGAGGGAGGGGAAGAGGAGCAAGAGGAGGAGAAGAAAAGAAGAAAGCTCTGGGGACGTAGCTCAGTGTGAAGGCCTCAGGTGTAATTTCTTGGAACCACAAAAGAAACTTCCTTGGGTTTTGATGGGTGGATTGATTTTTATTTTATTTATTTTTTATTTTTGCTACATAGTGCAGGCTGGACTTGAATTCACTGCTTAGCCTACAATGGCCTAAAACTCATGGTGACCTGTCTCAGCCTTCTAAGTGCTAGGATAAGAGGTGTGCGCCACCATGCCTGCCTCTAGCTTCTGATTTATTTTTTTTTTATTTTATTTTTTTTTTCTAGCTCAAGACCAACAGCAGCTGTTCCGTTTTTATTGAACGTGTTACAAAATGAGGCTTAGTCGAAAAGCCCAAAGCCCATGTCGTCCTCAGATTCCTCCGATTCTTCTTTCTTTGCTTCCACCTTCTTCTCCTCAGCTGGCGCAGCGGCGGTGGAGGGCGCAGGACCACCTGCAGGCGCAGCGCCCGCAGCAGGGGGAGGACCTCCAGCCCCTACATTGCAGATGAGGCTCCCGATGTTGACATTGGCCAGGGCCTTTGCAAACAAGCCAGGCCAAAAAGGTTCGACATTGACACCAGCCGCTTTAATGAGGGCATTGATCTTATCCTCCGTCACGGTCACCTCGTCGTCGTGCAGGATAAGCGCGGAGTAGATGCAGGCGAGCTCGGACACGGAGGCCATGATGCGGGCTGCCGGGCGCGGTGCTAGTCGCCGGAAGAAGTGAGGGCCTCACCCCAACGCGGCCTTAGCTTCCTCGGAAGAACCGAGCACCTTGGCGGCGGCTGAGGAAAGGCTAGCTTCTGATTTAAATGGAGACTTGCGACTCTTTCTTTCAACACTTAGGGGACACTTAGATTATTAACTGGCCTAATTTTCATATCAGCTCTGTCCTTCCCGCTGTGCGACTCCGGCCAGGTCACCCCACCTCTCTGAGCCTCCGCTCATAGCCCCCACCCCCGCAAAGTGCACTTCGCCGCAGTGCCCGCCTGTATAAACTGATGTCGACTTGTCTTAGTAAGGTGCCAGCCACCCTGAGCAGCCAGGTGCGGGATTTCTTTCATTCGGTTGCTCTATCCAGGGTTCCCAAGGACGGTGGAGAACCAGCGACCGCGAGAGGCTTCCCTACCTGTCAGAGAGCTCGCCAGCAAGTACTGCGTTTGGTTCTTGAGAAAGGTCGCCACGCCTTCCAGGTGCTGCACCTCTGGGGCGAGAGAGCAGGACATGCGGTGCCCCCTTGCGGGGGACCCCGCCCTCGTCGAGCCCCCCTGCTCCAGGCGGGCCCTGCCCCCCACCCCGCGCACCCGCCGCGCCCACGAAGGCGCCCAGCGCGTAGTCACGGAAGAACGGCCCCCCCATGCCCAGCAGCAGGGCCTGGGCGCGCGCCTGCAGCCGCGGCAGGGAGAAGTGCGCGGGCACGAGCACGGCGCGCAGCTCGGCCAGGGTCGCGCGCACCGAGGGGTCGCACTGCAGGCAGCCCCAGCTCCCGAGGGCGCTCAGGCCCCAGAGCATCAGGGCCACCCAGGTTAGCTGCATGGCTGGGCCTTTGTGACCTCACGAGTGGGTGCTGTGACGTCATGGGGCGGGCGGGGCTCCCTGCTGAGCGCTCACTGCGCACTCTGGGGCGTGGTTTTGGGAGCCAGGAAAGGTACTTCCGCCCTGCCCTCTGGGAATTTACTAATTCTTCGCAAATTCATTTCCTCGATACCCTTATTAAACACCTACGAGGTGCCAGGTGCTGTTTGAGGGCCTCCCAGCCAGCTAAAGCTGAGAAATATAGGTGCCTGACCCTCAGGCGCTGCAAGGGTTTACGGAACTGGTACTACGAGCTGGTACTACGTCCCAGGCCTTGTCATGGGCACGAGATACCGCGCAGAGCCAAACAGCCAGGGTCCGTGGCTACATGGAGGACACGGTCTCCGGATCAGCAGGTGTCCCGAGAGCACCTGCTAAGTGTGGGGTGCTACGGTCACTGGCTAGGACGCTCCTGGTCCTTGAACTTGGGGTTCAGTCTAGCTCGGATGGGAGGGGTGGAGAAAGGGCGAACCCAACAGATTAGGAAATAAAATCATGGCTACTGGAGGGGCCTGTGGGGTTATTCATTCAGTTTTGGCCTGCAGTGCTGGGGGTGGAACCCGAGGTCTCAGGAGAGCTAGGCAAGTGCTTTTCCCGGGAGCTGCACCTCACGTCCCGCCTTTGCCTTTTTCTTGGTACTGAGGATTGAATCCAGAGCCCTCACACTGAACTGCTTCCCTAGCCCTTTTAAAATACTTTAAAATTTTAGGACAGGCTCTTGTTAAGTTGGAACATGTGATCCTCCTGCTTCAGCTTCCCGAGTAGCTGAGCTTACATGTGTGCGTGAGTGTACCCAGAACCCCAGTGTATTTTGATTGGACCTTGACGGCCTGGCATGCTAAGGCTCCTGACATCATCTGAGTTAATTTACGTATGACTCCATTAGCGGGAGTCAAGTGCCGAAGACATCCCTCGGGATGCAGTGGGGCCCTTGCACCGCAAGGGGGTGCTCACACTCGAGGACAATTCTCGTGGCTCAGCCCTGCGACAGTGGCTTTGGCCTCTGCTGCTTGTACTTGCTTTTCCCAGGATCACCCAGGGGCAATGGCTGTTGCGCAGTATGAGTGGGGACCATGATTTTAGAGGAGAGCCTGATATATTGATTGCTTGTCCTTTTTTGTCCCCACTCTGACTCCGTCTGTGGTCCTGAGACCCTAAGAAGGAGCTGTGTCCAGTCCTGGGAACGTGGTCAGGACCCTCAGCTCCAGAGCCCTGAGCCCTCGGGCCTAGGTTTGAAGAGGAAGACACAGTCAGCATGCGGAACCCATTTGGTTCCTCTAGCACAACTGCTCTGAAAGGCCTGTGGTGAAGGTGGTGGGGTGGAGTATGGTCAGATCTCAAGCCCCAGCGACACCACCCCTTGATAAGACACCGCCACACTTGCCACCGGTCCCAGAGATGTCATGGAGTTGACCATTAATGACAGGTGGCCAGCACAGGGAGGGGATGTGACCACGGGTAAGGACGCAGCGACAGAAGGAACATTGTCCACTTGGTAACAGGACAGATCTGAGGGAAACAGCACAGAATCACAGTGAGACCTGTTATGCAATACCATGGGTGACCAGGAGTGGTGGCACAGGCTTGTCATGCCAGCACTTGGGAGGCTGAGGCAGGAGGATTGCTGTAAAACCCTGGCTCAAAAAACCAAAAATAAATAAATAATGAACACTGGCTATTTTGTAAGCCTTGTGAACTGAAGGTTCTAGTTTGCTTAGTTGCTGCATCTGAGATTATTAAAAATGAGAGGGAGAGAGCAGCCCCTTGGAGCTGTGGGGCAAGAAAGAAAAGCAGCTGTTTGGCTGTGGACATGGGGTCTCTGGAGTCTGGCAGGCTAAGAGCACAGGAAAGATGCATGTATCGGTCAGTGTGGGCTGTGCTGTGCTGCTGTAACAAGCAGCCCCGATAGCAAATGGTGTGAAACCTCACTTCCTCCGATGGGCCATGGCGTGGCCAGTCAGGACTCAGGTGGAGGGGGACCATGAACTTCACAGGCACCTACAGCCGCTCATTGACCCAGCTGGGATGAACAGCCACACCTAGCTTCATAGAGTGAGAACAGACCTTCCTGTGCCCACACAGAGACTGAGGTGACATATTTGTGAGTGGTCACCACAGAGCCCCCTGTGAGTCTGGGTGACAGAGAATTCATGCAACATGTGCCTTAAGGCTAGGGGTGCCTCAGAGAAAAGCTGAGCCAGTCAGAGAAGTTCTTCGTTGTGAGGCGTGGAGCCACACACTGTAACCGCAGCACGCTGGAGGCTGAGGCCAGAGCCTTTCTGTGAGGTTCAGGCTGGCCTGGAACCCACAGTGATCCTCCTCCCTCAGTCTCCAGAGTGGCAAGATGACAGGCCTGTGCCACCATGCCTGCACTGAGTTTCTGACTGTACGAAGCTGTGCTTGTTGCTGCAGCATTTCTATTTTTGGAGGGTTTCTGAGGCTCCATGAACCTTGTAAAGCAATTCAAGGGAATGTGTTTGTTGCCTTCCTGTGCTGAACCTGTGTGTCACAATTTTTTTTTTTTTTTTTTAATATCAGGGATTGAACTCAGGACCTTTTGCTTGCCAGGCAGGTGCTTGTGCCACTGAGCTATTTCTCCAGCCTGCTACTTTTAAATATTGAAATCCCCACTTGACTGAGGCCTAGAGAGGCCAAGTGTCTTGCCCTGGGTGGCACAGATGACAGATTAGGAGAAAGGCTTCACTCCGCAAAGTCCTGCTGAATGACACCCACGGGACGGTGGGAGGACTTGGCAACCAGCCCAGCAGAGGACAGGGAATTAGAGGAGGCAACAGCACCAGTGGAGAAGGGTTTCCCACTGCCTGGCCCCTGCCTGGCCACACCTTGGGTGCCAAGCCAGGGAGGATGAACAGTGACAGCCACGTGGAAATCCACTTGGCAGGGGCCAGGAGAGCTGGCTGCGGGCATGCAAGTCCTCTGAGCACAAGAAACAGGTGCTTGGTCACTGAGACACACGACATGTGTGTGCACAACTGAAGCCCTGGCTGTGAGCCCCAGCTGGAGACAACCCAGGTGTCCCCAAATACTTGCCACCTCTAGGTAGACATCTGGGTCCCAGGTCAAGGATGCACCCAGCGAAGGCGACACAGACCCAGCTGCCTGCCTGTCCACCACCTGTCCCTTACCCCAACAAAGCTTTGTTTAATAAAACAGGTGGTTGCCCATGGATCACGGTATGTCAACCCCTGTGTTAAAATTGGAGAGAAAGTCCCTGAAGCGGGGAATGGCTGTGAGTTTGAGGACAGCCTGGGCTACACAGCCAGACCCTGTTTTTAAAAAAAGGAAGAGAAATTTTTATAGGGTTTATATGACTAAAAATATCATGGGAGTCTTTACGAGGGATGGTTTACCTGTAGGAACAGGCTCTGTGTGCCTGGTGGGAGGGACACTTCTGCCACATGCCCCCATGCAGCCTCTGGGAGAATTGTGGGCCTTCTGCACTAACTGCGCTCTGCCTGGAGTTTCATGGCGCAGTGCTGATTAAGAAAGAAAAGTATAAAGACTTACAGCATCGTGCAGTTCTGGGAAGCTAATTACCGTCTGTCCTCTGAGACAGGAGGTCATGATCTCATCTTAAAAAAGAAAAGCCACTTACAAAGTGCATAGTGAGGCTGGGCGTGGTGACACTCGCTTGTTATGCCAGCCCTCGGGAGGCTAAGTCAGGAGGATTGATGTGAGTTGGAGACCAGCCTGGACTACAAGGTGAGCTCAAGGCCAGCCTGAACTGCATACCGAGACCCTGTCTCAAAAAGAGCAACAACAACAATAAAAAGTGCATAAGAGCCAGGCCAAATAGTTCAGCAGATTAAAACACCTGCAAGCAGGCGCAGAGGCCGGGGGTTCTATCCCCGGGCCTGCCGTGCCAGCCCCGCCTCTGGGGCACACCGAGACAGTGATTGAGACTGGGCGTGTGCCTGTAATCCCAGCCTTGGGAGGCTGTAAACGAGTCCAGTCTAGTAGTGAGACCCTGAACACCCTGTTGACCCTTCTCTAAAAAGAAATAATTAAAAAAATATGTGTAGTAAGTGGCGATGCGTGAGGTCTTAGGCGTGTGTGCTTTAGAGGTGCAGGATTTGGCTTTTTTCTTTCTTTTTAGTCCTGGGGCTTGAACCCAAGACTCTGGACTACATCCTCAGCCATTTATTTTTTTTTTTTCCACACAGGGTCTCCCTAAGTCGTTGTGGTGCTGCGGCTGGGCTTGGCTTGTGGTCCTCCCGCCTCAGCTGTCCAGAATGCCATGATGACAGGAGTTCACCATGATGCCTGGCTGGATTTTGGCTACTAAACGTGACAGTAAAGGGCGCCATTTGGGAAGTCACTCTGAGGAGGGGTGCTGGGTTCAGCAATGGTTAGGGGTGCCTTCAAACACCCTCGCAGCTTTTACTGAGTTGATAAACTAACACTTCTGTCAGAGTGGCCACAAGAAAAACCACTGCCAATTTGGATGGGGAGCACAGGGACACGCACTGTGTGTGTGTATGGGGGTGTGTGTGTGGCTGTTTTGAACATAACGTGGCAGTTTCTTTTTTCTTTTTTTTGGCGGAAACAGGGATTGAACTCATGCGCCCTTGCACTTGCCAGGCAAGTGCTTGTTCTACTGAGCTATCTCTCCAGCCCCTAAATTCAGAGAGGCCAAAGGTCTTACACATTATTTTTTATTTTTTGTAGTACCAGGGATTGAACTCAGGACCTTGTGCTTGCCAGGCAAGCACTTCCTGGGATCGGATTCATGGCCCTGCATCTGCATAAGCAGGTGCTTTAGTCTGCTGAGCTATTTGACTGGCTCTTAATTTTTTATTTTTACTTTTTTATTTTTTTGAGGAGCAACAGAAGGAGAAGAATCTTTGTAGCAGCCTCGTTCATGGCAGTTGGAACTGGAAACAAGGCAAATGTCCACTGAGAGGTGAGTGGCTACATAGGCCTGGTGGCTGTATGACAGA